TCCGGGAACCCAAGAGGCAAGCGAATTTTGGGAATAATGAGGGCAACAAATGTATAGATGTGTTTTATACAATTGATCTATGTATTGTGATGAATTGTATGAGCCCCAATAAATTGATTTAAAAAAAATACAGTTGACATATTTTGTTCAATTTTCCTTAATGCGAACCATATGTTTAACCACGGGGGAAATTAGCAAAATCAAGAAACTGTGGCACCATATTGTTGAGTCAACTGTAGACCTCATTCAAATTTCACCCTCTCCCTCGAATATCTCTTTTCTGATCCAGAAACCAATCTGGGATCCCATGTTTCATGTAGTCCGTAGTCTCATCTCATCTTTTAGGGTTCCTCAGGTTTTCCTTGCCCTTTAGAACTGCGACATTTTTGATGCGGGTGGACTATTCATTAAGAAAATACTCTCAGTTTGGGTATGTCTACTTCCAAAAACCCAAACAAACCTACTGCCATTGAGTGAATTCCAGTTCCTAGAGACCCTATGTAAGGCTTCTAAGACTGAAAATCTTTATGGAAACAATCTCTTCTTTCTCCTTAGAAGTGGTCGGGAAGTTCCAACGACTAATTTGATAACATGCACTATCTCCTTGTTCTGCTCAATTGCCTCTCGGTCTATGTAATGTTCCACACGAACACAATGAAAGTGTTTTGAAATTCTTATTCTTCCTAATGACATTCGTAATTTGTTATGACTCAATGCCTTTGCATAATCAATGAAACACCGGGAAACATCATTTATATTTCTCTGCTTCCAGCCAAGATGCATCTGAGTTAATTACTGATATCCCTCACTGTATATTCTTTTCTGAAACTGTCTTTCATTTCTGACACTTCCATGTTTATGTACTGCTGACCAAGTTTTAAATTAGCTTCTGAAAAGTTTATTTGAATATAATATTAATCTGATAGTTTGTGTGAATTCTGTTGGGTCACTTTTCTTTGGAATGTGCGTAGATAAGGGATTTCTTTCAGTTGGTTGGCCAGGTAACTGGCACCCAAATCTTGGCATAGATGAGTCAGCAACTCCACTGCTGCATCAGAAGTATTTGAAACACTTATTTATCAACAATGCCTTCGACAAAGCTTGAACATCTTTCTTCAAATATAATCAGTTTTTGATCATATGCTACCTCCTGAAATGGCCGAATGCTGACCAGTTATATTTGGTACAGTGACTCTTTGCATTCCTTCTTCTTTTGATGTTCCTGGCATCACACAATATTTTTAGCATAGAATCTTTCAATAATTCAATTCAGGGCTGGAGTTTTTTCCTTCCTATCTGCTCTGCAATAATTACAGTCACAATGTTTCTTGGACGTAACCATGGTGAGATTTTGTCTCACATACTTTGGCCCTGTTAACAGGAAGAGCCAGTTTCTAGAGAAAGACGTCATGCTTGGTAAGCAGAGGAGGAGGAAGACTCTCGGTGGGATGGCACAGGCTGACACCAAGAACTCAAGGATAGCAACAACTGGGAGGTGGTGGAGGACAGGTAGTGTTCCTGTTGTACACAGGGTTTCTATGCGTCAGAACCAACCCGATGGCATTTAACAAGAAAAACAGCATAGTGCTTTACAGCTATCTACCTGTCCATCCATCTACTCATCTGCCTTTCCATGAAACATTCCATCAATTCAAACAGCTACATCTGAGTCCAATCTAGTACTGCAGGGCATATTCTAGTCTTTCCCCTTTGCTCATTTAAAACTTGTTTCTCAGACAGTGACAAACCCGGTGCTCATTAGTTAGTATATATTTACTTATTTGGTCAATCTCAGCACACACAGAAAGTGGTTTCACAAATCCTAAAGCCTACCCCTGTGAGAAATAGATTAAATGACTAGAAGACAGTAATTGTGTATAATTACATTGTTGTTAGTCTCATGGTATCCCATTATGTAGTTACTAGAATCACTTTTACTTTCTTAAGGGTGCTCAATAAAATTGATGATACTGAGCATGATAAGCATGCTCAGTGGTCCATTCCACTCCAAACTCAACTATATTAGTCTTCAAATACTCAATGCCCCAACTACTTGTATTACACACTTCTGCTCATGTTGTTTACTTGCACGGATCCCCTCTCTGTACTCTTTCTTATCTGTCTGCATCATATTTAGGCTTTCTGATATTTTAGTTAGTGGACAATTAAGTTTATTATATCAGGTAATGTTTTTAGTATATTAAATGTAATACTCAATCCTAGTAACAACACTTTGAGGCAAGTAGTAATTCTATCTGCTTAGTAATGAGGAAAGTAAGTAATGCAGAAGCTAAGAATCGTGTCCCAAATCACAGTGAGAGTAAATATTGGAGCTGGGATTCAAGCTCACGCTGTCTAGCTTGTGTCTGAGCTCTTAGTCACGAGCATATATTCATGTTCTACATGAAACCTCTTTCTAGTTATTCCAATGGAACTAATTCACAGAACAAACATCATTTACCCTTTATTCTGTACTAAGCACTTTTCTGAGAAGCTCCGGTGGCCTTCTGAGCTAAGCACTGGGTTGTTAACCACAAGATCAGTGGTTCAAACTCACTAGAGAAAGGTGAAGCTGTCTACTTCTGGAAAGATTTACTTATCTCAGAAACTTTAAAGGGTGATCAACTCTGTCCTACATAGGGCTGCTATGAGTTGGAATTGACTTGCTGACAGTGGCTTGGGTTGGAGTTGGGCACTACTCTGATACTAAAATGAAGAAGACCTAATGTTCTCAGCCACTGACGAGAAGAGGGTTTACAGACCTATTAGGTCCTCATTGTGGGACCTCCTATACTGAGGCTGTATGCCTCTTACATCCACGGTGCCTGCATCATGGGGAATTATTTACACACATGTCCAATATGAGTCTAGGCAAGGACTACACCATGCACATGTCTTTGTTTTTCATTCTTAGGATGAGAGCTTGACACCACGAGTAAAAGATATAAAACTTAGGAACTATTATTAAAAAGATCCCAAAGAAATTTTTATATAGGCTTCTGCTGAAGTTAACAGAACATGTACCAAAAAAATGTCTGTGCTGTAAATGACAGCTTCTACCATAAGCCTCTTACTAATGAGACCAAATTAATGGGTTATGTAAATTGTTGCCAATGGTTACATAACTTTTCCCCATAAATTGCAAGGTTTAAAGTGCCCTTCTTTTCTATATTCTAGGTTCATTATAATTGAAGCAGCGAGTTAAAACTTTAGTAAGAAGTAAATATAAAATCTGCACATGGAAACTAGAAGACCATTATCAATAGTGCTGGAAAAGCTTCTTGTTGTTGGTATCAAAGATTATTCATGAACACTCCCAAATAGCTTAAAATATAATAAAGACAGCAAGTAGTTTAGCCACTCAGTCTTGGAAAAGATGATTTTAAATGATTACATAATTTACAGCAGGTCTGGATAACAAAAAGAAATTCCAGGTTACAGCTCTGATTCAGACTTGCATTCTGATCCCAGGTGGACAAAATTCGCTTGCAGAGTGGGCCGGGCCACTAATCCCATTGCTATTACTGCTGAATCAGCAAAGAAGAAATATTTCCCAAACCTCTGCTCTGCACCAGTCTGCCCCAGTTTCCCTGAAGAAAGTGCCCCAGGCTCTCTAGTCAATCATAAAGAAATTAGAATTGCTTCTTCTTTTTTGCCTCTCAGAACCATTTTGAAATGTCTTAACTTGGACAAGTCACAAAATAAGGAAGCTACTTATTCCAAACCTTTACAGGCTAAGAACATTCCGCCTATCTTCTGTACTACCACTGGGCACACTCAAACCCCAATCTTTAGGTTAGTGGTCACAAACCATCTGCGCTACCCAAGACCTTACGCTGGCCATTAAACAAACAAGAAACCCCCACGCCATTACTGTTACTCATAGCACGAGCCTAAGACTGCCCCATAGCATTGCCAAGGCTGTCATCATCATGAAAACTGACTGTCATATCTTTCCTCTGAGGACCAGATGGTATACTCAGTCTGCCAAGTTTTGGGTTAACAATCAGTGCTTAATCACTGTGTCCTCCCAGTTATTAACCCAAACCCAAACCCATTTCTGCAGAGTTGATTCCAACTCACAGTGATCCGACAGGACATGGGAGAACGGCTATGTAGGATGTTGAAGACAGAAAATCTTTACAGAAGCAGACTGCTTCATCTCTGCTTTGGTGCAGTAGCTGGTGGACTAAAGCAACCAACCTTTTGATTAGTAGTTCAACACTTAACCAATTGTGTCACTAGAGCACCTTCAAATTAGTCACTAGACCAATCCAAACCACTGCCACCAAGTCCATTTCAACACATTGTGTCCCAATATATTGTTTTAGAGACTACAAATATTTATAGGGGCAGATAGCTGGTGGGTGTCAATCACTGACCTTGGGATTTCCATGTAGGTCCTAAAGCACAGGGCCTACCTGATACCATTTTACTTTAGTTCTATTAGTATAGCCACACTATTAACATAGCATTAGTATATCCAAGTACATAGAGTTGGAAAGCACATTTAGCCGGCTCACAATGACTCCCTTAATGGAGAAGGCTATTCTCAAAAATGTTCATGTCAGACCCCTTTTCTTGCCATAAACCCTAAATCTGAACTGGCTCCTCCAAGCCTTACTTCAAACTAATTCTAAGAGAGTTAAACAAAGGAGGAGGTTAGTTTCCTTGTGCATTAGCTCCACACCTCACATCCTAATCCCAATACAGATGTAGATAATCCTAAATTTATGCAGGGGTTTTTAAGAGCAGAATGTGTATATCTTTTCTCAAAAATCCATCCTAAACATGTTGGAAAGTTGTACCTGCATCTTCCTCTTGCCAGGAAGCCACAACAGGTCACACTGTTCTGGTGGATTTAACCTTCATGAGAAATTACATTTGGACCTCCTGTGACGGTGATTCTTCAGTCTTTCCTTGCTGGGCTCCTAACCTCAAACATTCCCTCTATACATTTACTACACTTGACGTTGGAATCTCAAAGCCTGGTGCTGTCATCACGTCTGACTGATTTCGTATGGTTGGGTATCCCTTCTAGAGTATACTTCGGGGAGAGCAAGCCCACAGCGTTTTCTAGGTTTGCCTGAGAGTGAAACTTAGTGTTTCTTCAACTTCGTCTTTCATCAATGAAATATCCATGACTAACTAGAGCCCCATTTTCTACCAGTAAATCCCTCTATACCGTTGAGCAATTCAAACTGCCTCAGCAAGGTGGGAGATTTGATGAATCTGTTTTCTGGGGAAACCCAATAAAAGGCGCCAGAAGGAGACAAAGTTGATGCCTTCCAACATCTTTTGTCTTTTTAGTAGATTAGATGTCCTTACTATTAGATTAGTGGTTTCCAAAATATGAGTGAACTATAGATTAGTGCATATTTTTATTGTTTTCTTAAATAACTTTCAAGGGTCAAAAATGAAATGACCATATTGAAAATATGACTGCAGTTACGGGCATAGAAACTATCTTCCATAGAAGGAGATTATGTTCTTATAGAAGTGCCTTAGTGCCCGGAAGACAATCAAAACCGTCTATCCAGCCCGTAAGTAAAAGTTTAAGTGTGTACGGTATCTTCAGAATGATACACAGATTCCTTAGCATGGCACAGAAGTTCCTTTGAGCAGGGGCCTAGAGTCTCTTCTGGTCTTCCTTTTCCTCTCCCTGGCTCCTAATCTTATTAAAATAACGGGCATGTGTCCTCTTATTCTGTCCATTACATAAGGCAGCCATCCCCACCTGCCCTACTTTGCCTGGCTAGCTTCCTTTCCTTCTTCGGGTTCCAGTTTGTTGTGCCGAGCTGCTGTCACGTCGGCTCCTAACTCATGGCAACCCCGTGAGCAGAGGTGGAAAATGCTGCCCAGTACCAAGCCATGACCGTGACCTGTGGCCAATCAGAGTGTTGCGATGTACAGGGACTCCACTGGCTGATTTTCAGAAAGTAGCTCTTCAGGCCTCTCTATTCCACTTCATTTGGGAAGTTCCAATGAAATGATCGTAGCATGCAAGCCTCCACTGACAGATGGGCGGTGCCTCCATTTGCGATGCATCGGCTGGAAGTGGAACCACTAAGCCGCCTCATAGGTACTCAATAATCTGCGTTTCTTGAGAATAACTCATCCGGGTACCTGCAGGTCTTTTTCCTTTGGAGTATTTCTTGTTCGTGACTGAATTTTGGAAAGTGCATGTCACATTTAAGCACTGGTCAAGCACCTGGGGAAAGAAGCTTTAAACCCCACTAGTCTATAACATGACACTCACCTGTTTCCGCATCACATCGGTAGCCTGCATGATGTAGCGTGGAGGCAGCCCGTGGCATCTGGCTAGAAGAATGGCCTGTTCCAGCGTCACGCTCAGGGTGCACCTGTTGCAAAAACAAAGACAGTCCAATCCACCTGTTCCTGTTAACTCCAAGAGACGCCTTGGGTCCCTAAACTCAGAATAAGAAAGTGCTGATAAAAATCCAATCAACCAAACCATGACTCCCGGATTTTTCTATACAGAACAGCCAGTTAAAAATAGATGACAGTGGGCTAGTTACTATGGAGGCCATGCATTAGAGATTTAAATTTAAAACAATTCCTTCTTCAACTTTGGTTCTGGAAGAGCTTATGCAGAAAACCTTTAATAACCAGAAATAGAATATGTTTTGTTATCAGATCATAGTCTTTACTGATATTTCATGTGATTTAAAGGAAATAAATCTATAATATCTATTTCATGTCTACACATTGGTAGTTAATAGATCTATACTGTTTCATATGCTTAGATATAGCTTAGATATAAATTACCATAGATATAAATATAAATAGTGGAAGTGTTATTCACAGAGGTCAGGATAAAAAGTGAAAATACAGCAAACGGGTGTGTGTCTTGGGTCCAACCTGAAGACTATTTGTAAAGGTTTCCAAAGGAAGAGAGGGTCCAAGAAAACTCTTCTGTGACTCCAGCGACCAGTAACCCTTCACCCCGTTCTCTTCTCTTAAGTCATTTCTTCGCTTTGCTACCCCACTCTTCCCGATAGCATTCCTTAGAGACTATTTTTGTTTTTGCTTATATTTTCAGGTGCTGGTATCTGCACAAAGTTCCTAGGTGGCACGAATGATTTGCGCTGGGTTCCTAACATGACCTTCAGAAGAAAGGTGAGGAATTCGACATCTGCAAAGATTACAGTCAAGAAAGCCCTGTGGAGCTCAGCGCTACTCTGTGACGCCTCCCCCTGGGTGAGACGTTACCCCTTGACGCAGGGGCAAAGGGTTGTGTTTTGCTTTGCTTTTTTTCTGGGTGTGTGTGCGTGTGTGTGTGAGGCATAATCTATGAATTGGTTTTTTCAATCGTTTATAAAAATGTCAATTCTTTGAGAAGACTTTTCCTGAAATTTATATTAGGAAGTTTTGCTTTACTTTACTTTTGTTGATCCTTTATGATTAGTCTTTTCTCCATTTTTTATTTGACTTCCCTGTGGTTTTGTGTTTTACTTCTGTATTTTTCGAAGTTCTGCTTTTTTTGCTTTATACAATATAAGTTCTATAATGTCATTGATTATATCTAAGTGATATATAAACATTGCCTATGGTTATGAGTCGGTACTAGGGAGATCAAACACTCAGTAGATTTAAGATATTACCATTGTAATATTAGAAAGAATTTGACAAAGTGCAACTACATTATCATACAAATTGCATCCCGTGGAGAAATATGCTACATTTTACTGAATGGTAAGGTGCTTGAAAAGCAGCTTCCTCATTAGCTTTACAGAGACTCTGTGAAAGTATTAATAGCACATAGGCAGATGTGCTAAACCTTTAACGTTAGTTTCCCATCGTACACAGTGCTCACAAACATGGAATGTATGGATCTGCTACCAAAACACACTGTTGTTTTACACATACGTGCAGGCTGGAGAACAACATACACCACCAAATGCCAAAAAAAGTGGGGGGAAGGACATGTTCTGCTTAAAAGACTCATTTTTTATAAAACATTTGTCAATTTACTTCATATGCTATGCCCTTTTTCTTCTCCTTCCATTCTCCTCTACTCCAAGGCTCAGTTTCTGTTGAGTCTCACATTGTAAGCACTAACACTCATTGCACAAGCTGAGAGATGAGCAGAACAGCCTTCATCTTTTTCTGATGACATTGACCTATGTTTGTGCATTCCTGAGGGAACACTGCTCACCCCATCTACTCTGCTGGCAACAAACACTGAATCATTGTGAAGGGTTTTTAATAGGAAGTTTATAAATCTTATCCATTTTCTTAATCCTTGAAAATGGATTTATTTAGTCCAAGTACAAGGTGTAGTAAACAGGAGGACAGCAGCTTTGGTTCTTTTGCAAAGATTTTTAAGAATTTTACTCAATTCAGGAAATCCATATGGCCTTTAATATCCTCTTTGCTAGGTTAGTCAAAGTGCCACTTCTTTAGAGCAAATTACCTCATGAAAAATAGACCTTAGAATACAGACGCATTTATTTTTCTTTAGTATATCAATAACGATGGATTCATTTATAGTTTCCCTTTCTAACAAATGAATATAACTCAGATACGTCTGAAGATTATTTTGATTTATTTAAAGAGTGAAGCTTTTCACCCAAAACCACAGTCCCTCACAGAAGGGCCACAGGAAAGGGATGATAAATCCAGGGTGTGGTTGGTATAGTACTGGTGAAACACAGAACTATCCTCTAGTTCATTCATATATCCTCCCCTTAATATTAGGGCTTTTGTTTTACCTCACTAATCTTGTTAGTCCTTCGTGGGCTCATTTGTATAATTAAGAGCATTTGATGCATAGAAGCCAATAGATAACCCTTCAGTAACAGGATACCGGAAGAAAGGGTGGCGTGCTGGTAGCAAGGATGATTGTGTAACTTCATTCGAGGACAGCAAACAAGAGAATTGTAGGTGAATGGATTTATTGGGGTAAAATATGGCAAAAATTATACACACACACACACAAAAACAATAAGGGATCCTGTGGGGCAGGCGAAGGAGGGGATAAACAGGAGCTGATATCAAGGAGTTCAAGATAAAGAAACTGTTTGGAAACTGACTATGGTAGCAACTATACAATTATGCTTGACGTAATTTAGTTATGGATTGTTATGATATCTGTACAAGCTCCCTATAAAAGGATTGATCAGAGAGAGAGAGAGAGAGAGAGAGAGAAAAGCATTTAGAAAGAGACAGCCCTGTCTATATGGGAAAGCCTGCCTATGTTCTATTCTCATTTCATGGCTCTAATAAAGGCAAGGATTTTCTTTTCACAGCTTCACAAATTTCCATTATCCTAAATTAAACACATGAAAGCAAGGCTAGCAGTAAATCCACAATGCTGCTGTCAATATGCTATTATTTGCCTCATAGCCTTTTATCTTCTAGCAACAATTTCAATCTGAACGCTAAATGGAAAAATTCAGCATTTTCAAAAAACATTTAGATTTTGGCATTTTCTTTAAGACTCAGGTCCAGAATCTAGCACATGGACTTTCAGTGTTGCATAAATGTATAGTCAGAATCGCCTTTTACCAACATTCTCTCATTTTATAGTACTCCTATAGGGTTATCATGGGTCAGAACTGACTCGAAGGGCAGTGAGCGTGGTTTCTGAGTCTCCGATACACAGAAAGCCCCCTACCCTAGCAAGAGATGTCATGATAAATAAGGAAAGATTGAAGTTGTCAAAGATTTCCTTTTGTCTGTGTCCACAATCAATGCTGACGGAAGCATCCATCAAGACACCAAATGAAGTATAATCTTGGACGAATCGGTTGCAGAAGAACTCTTTACAATGTCGAAAGCCAAGAGGTCCCTTTGAGGGCAAAGGCGCACAGGTCTTTTCAATCGCTCCGTAGCATGGAAAAGTTGGACAGTGAAAAAGGAACACTGGGGAAGAACGGATGCGTTTGAATTATGGTGTTGGCAGAGAAAATCAAAAGTGCGGTGGACAGAACAAACCAATCTAAAAAGTGAGAGAAGTACAGCCAGCCTGCTCCAGAGAAGCCAGGTTGGCTAGATTGTGTCTAACAGAGTTGGGACTTGTTATCGGGAGAGAACAGACCCTGGAAAAGGACATCATGCTTGATCCAACAGAGGGCCAGGGAAAAACAGGACGAGATGGGTTGACTCAGCGGCTACAAGCAAGGTGACAAAGAAGATGGTGCGGGACTGTGAGGACGGTGTGGGCCAGGCAGTTTGTTCTGTTGTGCACAGGATCACTATCAGCTGGAACTGACTCCACAGCCCCTA